GCGGCGGGCCCGCCCGGGGTCCCCCGCCAGCGGCTGCAGGACGATGCAGCTCAGCCGGGACTCGGCCCTGAGGTGGGCAAGGGAGCGGGCAGTTAGGGGTTGTACCCCCCCCAGGGGTAAAAACAGGGGGAAGGGGATCCCAGAGCAAACGCAACAGGGAGGAAGCTCTCGCTGTGCCTCCCTCGCCATGCCCTGTGCAGCGGTGGTGTCCCCCCGCGGGGACATGACACCCCGTGACGGTCACTCTGGGGGGTGGGGGGAGGGCAGACGGCCGCCTCCCTCCTCCCGCGGTGCCGCACGCTGACGAAATCCCGCTGGCCCACCAGGTTGCCCGGGCTGGGAGCAGTGACTTCGTGTGTCACCAAGGTGTCCGTCCCGACGCGCTGCAGCACCTACGGGAGCGAGGAGCGTCCCAGGGATCAGGCTCCTTGTAGCTGCCCCCTCCAGGGACATCCCCACCACCCCTTTACTCCTGCCCAGGGGACATTAAAGCCACCTTGGGGACAGCAGCGTGGGGTGGCAGTGTGAGCAGAAGCGGCTGCAAGGCAGGGGCTTGGGGCTGGCACCTGGTGATAACTAAATCCCAAGCCCCTGCAGGCTCTCAAGGAGGAAAGTGGGGGATTTTTGCAGCCGTTTTTTAAATCCGGGACGGGATTCTCTGCTCTTTCTGTTTCTGAAGGGACAGGGAAGTGGTAGCAATAAATAAGCAGAGGCCGGGTAGCATCTGAGCCAGCCCAGGTGAGCTAGGGGAGGGTTTCTGAGGCTGGCAACTTGCTTGGGGCTATGCTGTGATTTGGGAGCTGAGAAATAAGGCAAATATTCCGAAGCAGCCCAGGACAACACATAAGCTTCCCAAGGGTGGCCCCCCGCAGTGTGATGTATTTGCTTTGGCTTCTTTTTTTGAGCCGATTCCCCCGAGCAGCTTCTCCCCTGGTGTTAAGGTCTGAGCAACGTCCGAGTCCCCCCAGCGCGGCGAAGCCCCTGGGAACAGACACCATGCATAAAGAGAGCTCGGACACTGGACGTTTCCCAGTGCCACCCAGTAAAGCACATCTTCTCTCCCCGGGGGGAGATTCTGCTCTTGCAGGAGCGCGGAATTAGCTTTAACCCTTCAGCGATCTTAAAAGACTTTTTTTGGGGGGGGAGGGGGGGGATGCTAGCAACCCTGGCGACGCAAAGCCTCGGCCCATCTGCCTGCGACGGCATTGCTCCCCGCCCTG